GGTTTAAGGTTTTCGGGTTTAGGGCTTTAGGGGTTTAGGGTTTAGGGTTTAGGGTTTTAGGGTTTTAGAGTTTAGGGGTTTCGGGTTTAGGGGTTTAGTGTTTAGGGGTTTAGGGTTTAAGGGTTTAGGGTTTAGGGTTTAGGGGTGTAGGGGTGTAGGGTTTAGGCTCCAAAAAGCACATAAGCAAAAATCAAGACGGGGATATCCCGTTTCAAGCCTCTTCTCATGAAGCCCAATAAGGGAGGGATAGCCTTGTATAATGCTTATGCTTCTGTTCTTCTTCGGGCCCCTGTTAAGAGTTAACTGAGGTGTAAGGTTTAGGGTTTAGGGTTCAGGACCCTTTTGTTAAACGAGACCCTTGAGGAGCCCTTCCAATAAGGAACCAAAGAAGTAGCTCCAAACCCGAAACCCCAACCCTGAACGCATCTGTGAACCCATCCGAACCCTAAACCCTGAACCTCAGACCCTAAACCCGAACACTTAATCCCTAAACCCTGAACCTCAGGCCCTAAATCCTAACACTTGAAACCTAAACCCTATGCCCATCTGAACAAGCCCATCTGAACCCTAAACCCTGAATTCCAGGCCCTAAGCCTAACACTCAAAACCTAAACCCTAAGCCCATCTGAACGGTAAACCCTGAATGTCAGACCTAAAGCCTAAACCCTAACACTTGAACCCTAAACCTTAAACCTATATGGACCCTAAACCCCTAAACCCTGAACCCTAAACCCTAAACCCTGAACCCGTTTAAGGAGCCTTTTAAGGGGGCATCCAAGGCCTCCCCGCTTGCCCATCGTCATCGACGTGTTCAATCGGCGAGGCAGTCAGCCGATGCACAGGACGTGTTCACGCTTCAAAGTGTATGGTCAGTATGTATATATATATATATATATGTGTGTATACATGCATTTATGTATGTATGTATGCATGCATGGATGTATGTATGGATGGATGCATGTATGGATGTATGGATGTATGGATGTATGGATGTATGGATGTATGGATGTATGGATGTATGGATGTATGTATGTATGTATGTATGTATGTATGTATGTATGTAATTATGCATGTATGTAACTATGCATGTGTGTGTGTGTACATATATATATATATATATATCTGCACACATACATATGCATATACATACATACATGCATACGTACATACATACATACATACATACATACATACACACACACACATACATACATATTTACATATGCACATGTATGTTACGGGCACCATATCTATATATATATATATGAGAGAGAGAGAGAGAGAGAGAGAGGCGCCTTGAGGGTCTATTTGACGCCCTATTCTTGCCTATATGACTGAAAAGAATTGAAATAATTGAAATCCGCAGGGCCGATTTCAATTCACAGATTTCTTTTTTCAATTCACAAGGCCACTTGTGAATTCAAAAACAAGTTTGTTAATTGAAATCGGATGTTTCTTTTTTTATCCGAGCCGCGAGTCCAACCGATTTGAATTATGTAAATAATTGAAATAATTTAAATACTTGAAATAATTCAAATCCGGCCGATTTAAATTATTTCAATTATTTCAATCCACAAGGCCACCTTGTGAATTGAAATAATTTTGTTTTTTGAAATCCGTCCCAATTGAATTATTTCAATTATGTAAATAATTCAATTCCCGGGGTTCTGTGGGTTCGGCCCACCGAACCCCAGGATTTCAAAAAACAAAATTATTCAATTCACAAAGCCACTTTGTGAATTCAAAAACAAAAATGCGTATTGAAATCCGTGGGTTGCGTGGTTGGACCACGAGTCCCACGGATTTGAATTATTTAAATAATTGAAATAATTTAAGTAATTGAAATACTTCAAATCCGGCCGATTTAAATTATTTCAATTATTTCAATCCACAAAGCCACCTTGTGAATTGAAATAATTTTGTTTTTTGGAAATCCACCCCATTTGAGTTATTTCAATTATTTAAATAATTCAAATCCCGGGTTTCTGTGGGTTCGGCCCACCGAACCCCAGAATTTAAAAAAAAAACAAAATTATTTCAATTCACAAAGCCACCTTGTGAATTGAAATAATTTTGTTTTTTTGAAATCCACCCCATTTGAATTATTTCAATTATTTAAATTATTTCAATTATTTAAATAATTCAAATCCCGGGGTTCGGTGGGTTCGGCCCACCGAACCCCAGGATTTCAGAAAACAACATTGTTTCAATTCACGAAGCCACGTTTTGTGAATTCAAAAACAAAGATGTGAATTGAAATCGGCTCTATTTCAATTATTTCAATTGTTTCAATTATTTCAATTATTTAATTATTTAAATAATTCAAATCCAGGGGTTCCGTTTCCTCCCCCGCCCCCTCTCTCCTAGCCACCTCCCCCCCTCCGCTATCCCCCCCCCTCTCCCCACCCCACCCCTCCCCTCCCACGAAACTTTTTTTGTTTTTGCACCCACTCCCCCCACCCAAATTTTGCCAGACGTCTCGCGGGCAAAATTTGGTCCAATCCTCTCTGCTGTTATTTCCTACCGGTAACCAAGGAAATGACGGCAAAGAGGATCGGACCAAATTTGTCCAGGACACTCGCGGGCAAAATTGGGACCAATCCTCTCTGCTGTGACTTCCTACCGGAACCAAGCAGAAAGGATTGGACCAAATTTTGCCAGAC